TGTGTGTGTGTGTGTGTGTGTGTGTGTGTGTGTGTGTGTGTGTGTGTGTGTGTCATATTCCTTCAGGAAAAGACAGCTTGCATTTTTTTTTTCAGCCAAACACAAGGTTTATTAAAGATCTGCCACATTAGCCAGACACTTAAGGACTCTAAGAGTCTGTGAGGTATTGTCCAGATTCTAAGAATCTGAGCATCTTAAAGGAGACAAGATGGACCTTATATACAGAAATGATGCGGTTTAGAGGTTCAGGGATGCTGGGACCCCAAAATCACAACACATGGGTCCTGCCCGAAAGAATTTGACCCAAGCCTTCTTTCAGCCACACACAAGGTTTATTAGAACATTCATCATATTGGGCAGACTCTTAAGGAGTCTGAACATTATAAGAATCTGATCAGTGGCTAGATTATAAGAATCAGAGCCGTGGCTAGATTTTAAGAATCCCAGCCGACAGCTTGCATCTTATAAAGGACGTTAACACCCAATCAACAACAGGTTGGTTGAGACTTGAGGAATTTTAATGACATTGAAAATCAGGTGTTTTGACCTTATGAATAAACTTCTATTACAATTAAGATTCCACTTGAATTTTGAATGCAGTAGTGAGAGGGTATTGGCTTGTTTTTTCACTTCACTTCTAGTTTGTCTTTTCTTGCTGGTGCAAGGTTGGTCTGGAGCAGAAATCTTTTCAAGACTTGGCATTGAGTAGAAAGTATATGATGAAACCTGAATTTTTGTGTAGGAAAAAAAAAATTCAGCCTATAGTGACATACAGTAGTAAATAAATTTCAACTGAAGGAAGCTTGGGAAAAGCAGATTAAAAGATTTTTAAAGGAGCTTGAGTATAATAATAGTCACTCAAATTTATATAGGTCTTTAAGAGATAAATATGAACTAAAACTTCTTTTCAAAATAGCTAATTTTATTTTTCATCATGTTGTTCTTTAACCTATATGTAACAAATTTGCTATGAAGGATTACATTTGATTGCATCTTTTTTCATAATACACAATAATTATAACTGATTTCTTCTTTAGCATTTAATCCGAAGTAGTGGAAAATTAATTCTTCTTGATAAGCTGTTGATTCGGCTAAAAGAACGAGGCAACAGAGTTTTGATTTTCTCTCAAATGGTGCGGATGTTAGACATACTTGCAGAATATTTGAAGTATCGTCAATTCCCTTTTCAGGTAAGACTCACTTTAAACTTGAACTGTCATTATTATTGTTCCTAAATTTTAGTCTACTTTCCAAGAAAATTATACAAAATTATCTTTCAGACTTTTTAAAAAATGACATTAATATTCTGATCCTTTCAAAAGATCTCTTGCTTTTATCATTTTTATATTTCAACAACTGTCCTATTTTCTTTTTCTTTTTTATCTTTATTTCTGCTCATTCTTTACCTTTAGCCAAAGAACCATTATGTTCTTACAATTTTCCTACATTTTTTAAAGCTCTGTAAATGGCTTAAAGACATTCTGTAGGGATGGATCCAAATCCAAGGACACAATTAAATGATAGGCATATTCCAAGTAATAGTTTTAGATAAGAAAAGCAGAAGGTTAGGAATCTCAGGGCAAAATAAAAATATTTTCTCTGTTTAGAGGTCATTGTTTAGAGACAGTTTTTCAAATACAGCATTCCTCATGAGGCTTATCATGCCAACATGATTTTGAAATAACATTGCTAATAACCAGATCATACTCTGAAATTCTTGAACCCTACTATAACACTGTTTGGCTCATCTCTTTTATATAATTGTTCCTGTGGAAGTTAACTAGCCCCTTTGAAGCTGTTCAGCAGTAGGTAGGGTTGGTATCAATGTGATAGATAGTTTAAAAAAAATGTAAAAGTTCTATGAAAGGTACCAGGGTGTTTTAAGTGTTTTTTAAATGCCTTATGTTAAGTTCATGAGTTTATAAGTGCCACAATAGTGGATGGTAGTATAGCAAAAGTAGACATAATCTCTCATAAAAGGGAATTCAATTCTGTAGATAATTATTTAGCACCTGCTTTGTACAAGGTACCCTGGCCTTTGATAATTAGTGTAGGTCTAGTTTTGACCTACTAAAGTATGATCTTTGAATCTAAGAGAGATTCCGTAGTTGTAAACTTCTTGAAAATAAAATTTGTTTCCTTGAGAAAAAGTTCAAATTATCCCTGCCATCTTAATCCCAATTGGTGGTAACATGATTTAATGTAAAGAGTGTTGAACAAAGAATCATAGAATCTGCATTTAATATCATACTTTGCTACTGTTGTGACCCTGGACAAATCGCTTTAATGATTTAGACCTCAGTTTCCTTATTTGTAAATGAGGGTGGTGGGCCAGATCTGAGACATCTAACAGTACCTGAACCAGATTAAAATGTAATTGGGATATAAAATGTATTTAACGAAATAAATAAAAGTAAAATAGAACATAATGTTAATATATGATTTTCTAATTCACTGTGTAGTAGACAGGGTCCTTATGTATGATATATCACTCACCCCCATTCGAGTTTGACGCACGACTAGATAACCTTTAAGGTCCCTTCTGCCTCTAGATATGTAATTCTAAGCCTCTTTGAACTTAAACCAACTGTCAGTTGCTCATAAATTCAACTGAAAAGTTAGTATTTAGTGCCAACTCTGATAGTAAGTTAAGAGTAATTGGCAAAGTTAAAATCATGCAGAAAAATTTTTGGCAATCTTTTAAATTATTTTTAAAGAAGCTTGTTTCATCACTTATGTTACTTCCATATATGACTCCTAAAAGAAAGGACTTACGGTACTTATTATCCTCTAAACTCACTGAGAGAGATTAGAACTACCTCAGTTTTATTAATGAGCTTTGTATTTTCATTCACATTTACTTTATTTTGCAATTTTATTTCATGTTTCATATAGGAATTTTGACTAAATTATTGTTTTCCTGTTCATTATCTTTAACTGATGCTTTTGTCATTCCAGAGATTAGATGGTTCAATCAAAGGAGAATTAAGAAAACAAGCATTAGATCATTTTAATGCTGAAGGATCTGAGGTGTGAATTTGATTATTTTCTCCCATTTAAACATTTAATATATGTATATCTCTTTAGTAACCATGATGAATTATTATTGTAACTTTGAAATGTCTATATATTGGTCAATTTGATTAAGAAAATTATTCTTAAGTAGATTTCTCCTTTATTTTGACTGTCAAAGAATTTTTTTTTATTCCTGTGTTAGAAAGAGAACTGTGCATTAAAGTTTTTATAGAATAAGTTATGATAAGGGTAGCTAGATGTCACAGTGGATAGAGCTCCGGCCTTGGAGTCAGGAGGACCCAAGTTCAAATCTGGCCTCAAACATTTGACACTTACTAGCTATGTGACACTTACTAGCTATGTGTCACTTAACCCCAGTTGCCTCACCAAAAAACAAACAAAAGTAAGTTATAATGCAAAGTCATTTGCTGAAAAGTAAATTTGCTTTTGACATTTAAAATTTGCTAATTCCATGATATCACTAGTTTCCTCTCAGAGAATTAATATTGTTACATCATCTGTTTCTAATGACATTCAACTGTGATGGATTTAAAAGTGTCACTATTTTCTTTTATTTCTATAGGATTTTTGTTTCTTACTTTCCACAAGGGCTGGAGGACTAGGCATCAATTTAGCATCTGCTGACACTGTTGTTATATTTGATTCTGACTGGAACCCACAAAATGATCTTCAGGCACAAGCTAGAGCCCATAGAATTGGGCAGAAAAAACAGGTACAAATACATCACCAGTCTGAAATCCAATCTTCACATAGGGCTTTTTAAATTGATATTTGTTCATTCTTTACTGTCTTTCATTTTTTAGGAAGATTGAATCTCACTATTAGGAAGGAGGGGCAGTTCTTGACTTGAGATCCACATCCTTAGGGGTATCTGGTTAGATTTCAGGGAATCTGTGAACTTGGATGTCAAAAATTACATCTTTAATTTCAGTATAATCAATTTTCTTTATAATCCTACGTATTTTACTTAACGCATTTAATAATATAATACTGACAAGAGATTCACAGACTTCATTTGTCTGTCAGAAGACGTTCATGATTCATAAAAAAGGCTAAGAAACCCTGTTCTAATTGATGTATAACTGAATTTCCCCAAAGTTCAACCAGTGACTTGAGAGTAAAGCTAATATTTAAGAAGACCATACCTTTAAAAAGCCCTGTTGTTTGTACATAAAAACATGGGAATAATTTCACACTTTATACTTTATTTGGAAGAGATGCTGGAGTGGTTTGCCATTTCCTTCTCCAGCTCATTTTACAGATGAGGAACTGAGACAAAAAGAGTTAAGTGACTTGGCCAGGATCACGTAGCTGGTAAGTGGCCAGGTTTGAAGTCAGGAAGATGAGTCTTTCTGACTCGAGGCCGAGCACTCTTATCTGCTGCTCTACCGAGGTGCCCTTTAGAAGCAGCATTGGACTGAAAGTAAGGGTACCAGGCTTAGCTCTTGGGAAAGCTTGGGCAAGTCACTCTTTTAGTCTCAGTTTACTTATGTGTAAAGTGAAGGGATTAGCTTAAATGATTTCTGTGGATGTTTCCATCTCTGAAGTTCTTTAATATTTTTGTGGCTGACTTCAAAATCTTTATTTATTGTCCCTTCTCTTCCAAGCTCCAGATTGGCATTTCCAGCTACCTACAAGACTTCTTCCTTTTACCTTAATCAACATGTCCAACAGTGAATTTATCCCCTTGTTCTCTGTTAACAACAGAAAATGCCTATCCTCTATGACATTTGTATTTTTGTACATTTTACTACCAGTTTTCTGTTCACTGGTTTGAAACCTTGAAATTAATATGTTTGGTTTAACATTTATTAAATGCCCACTATGTACAAAGCATTGTGTCTCTTCAAACTCTAAAGTTTTAATCATTTGCTACCGTCCAACCAGTCACCAAGTCTTATTAATTATACTCTCCAACTCTTATGCACAGTGTGCCATACACAGATTAAAGAATAAGTGAATGTTGAAGGTAGTGTCCAATCTCTCCATCCCATTCTTTCCATTTCCACAACAACCACCTGCTTCAGTCCTTTCTTATTTCTTATTTGGACCATTGCAATAGCTTATTAGCTGGTCTGCAGTCTTCTGATCACTTTCCCTTCAATACATTTTACATGTAGTCTGGCTGCAATCATGACAGCATCTTGCTCCAGAACTTTTAATGGTTCTCTGTTTCTGTGCACTAAAGTCTATACTCTCTAAAATCTGGTGCTATACTGTATTACTATAGCTAAGCTTCCTTGAACCATGCTTTTTGCTTTTTTTTTTTTAGTTTATTCAATGTCCCCATATCCATGATGTTCTAATTCTCCCTTCCCTTTGTGAAAATCCTATTCATCTTTCATGGCCCATCCCAATTCCATCTCTTCTACTACCTTCTCCAGTCTTCTCAACCCAAGTGATTTTTCTCCACTATATTTCTTTAGTATTTTGATACCTACACTATGGTTATTTTTGTTGTGTTTTTGCAACTAAATTAAAACCTTCTTCAAGAAAAGAGGCTTTTCATCTTTGTATTCCCATAAGACAAACTATTGCATGTAACAGTAAACTATATTGGCAGTTGTACTCCCTAACATGCTTCTTTGTAACAGTAGTAACTTTCTTCATTTTATAATTTATATAAATTGAGGTGTACTTTTTTATATAGGTTAATATTTATCGTCTAGTTACAAAAGGATCAGTTGAAGAAGATATTCTTGAAAGAGCCAAAAAAAAGATGGTGCTTGATCATCTGGTAATTCAGAGAATGGACACAACTGGGAAGACTGTTCTACACACAGGTTCTGCTCCCTCAAGGTAAATGTTTTATAAGCAGAGAGTGTCTTGATAACATCAAACAGTTGAGCTAGATTCTGATTTTTACATAGATTTTCATGGATGTTTATAGTTATACACATAAATATTTAAAGAAGTGTTTTTACAATACTGAATTAACTTGTTTATGTGTAATTCATGGTTCCTTTTTTTCTGCTTTAGTTCTACACCTTTTAATAAGGAAGAATTATCGGCAATTTTAAAGTTTGGTGCTGAAGAACTTTTTAAAGAACCTGAAGGAGAAGAACAAGAGCCTCAGGTAAAGAGAATTTAACACACAGAATTTATGTGGGAGAAGATATGGCCACACTTAAGTTACCAAGATTAAAACATTCTTTCCATTTATAGGAAATGGATATTGATGAAATCCTGAAGAGAGCTGAAACTCATGAAAATGAACCAGGCCCATTAACTGTAGGAGATGAATTGCTTTCCCAGTTTAAGGTATATTTCTCATTTTTGAAGCATTTTTTTTTTAAAAAAACAATTTATATGAAAATTGAGTATCATTTGGAATAGTGGTAAGAACACAGTTAACAGAATTTGGGAGACCTGGTTTAGTTCTTATTTCTGTGTTAAGTGGAAGTGCTTATAAGGTGCCTACCATGCTGAGAGGAGATATATGCCATACATTGGTCAAACTGAGAGACCTAGTTTTCCGGGGAAAGGGAAGGCTTAGTTGGGGCTAGACATATAGAACATGATATCCATCTTTAAGTATTTGAAACTATCGCGTGGAAAAAAAAGATATTTATTCTGTCTTGAAGCAGAGAGCAGAATTAGTAGTGATCAGTTTTGAGATGGAGAACTTGGCTTGGTGTTTAAAAAAAAAAAGGCTAGTTCCTAATTATCAGAACTGTTAAAGAGTGAAATGTGTTGCTTTAGAAGGCAGTGAGATATATGACTCAGATCTTCTAGCATGAGCATATCTTTTTAGGTCTAGGTTAGACTAAATGATATCTGGAGACCTGAGATTCCATGATGGTGGGTAAATTATATAACATCAGTGGGCCTCATTTTCCTTATCAACTAATAGGCTGCTTTCATTCCCTCATAATTCTGGCATTTTGTGATTAAGATACATAGTTTTTCCTTTGTTATACTTTTTAAGTATTTTTTTTCTTTTCAACTTAGTCTGCTGGAAAATAAAAGTTAGTCTGTTGGAAAATAAAAGTATATAGCCTTCTTAAAGAAAATGTTTGTCTTATTATGGTAGACTAACAATCAATGTAGTTAGGTTGTATAAACATTTTCATGTATTATTAACTCTTTTGTTATTTTCCTAGTCATGTATATTAAGGGTATTAGTAAGAATTTTATTTGGAAACAAAATATAATAAATTCATTAAGTTTGAGGATAAGGTTTTTCTTGACTATATATTTTTCATTGCGGGCAATTTTTTAGCAGAATCTGATTCAGCCAGGTTAGTTCCAGTTTGCTAGCCACTGAAATAAAATTATTGCAGTTTATAAGGTTTCAAATAAGAGATTCAGAGGTGTCACTTTTTCCCTCAGACATCTTAAGTAAATTAAATCATGTAAAGTAGCAAATAGCTATTATTGTAGGCACACATCCCCTAAATGTCAGTGCCTGAGATACTGCAGGAGGTTTTTATAGGGTGACATATGCATCTAACCTTAAAAGAAAGTTAAGTGTAATTCTTTATATTTTTTTAAATTATATTTTATTTTTTCATTCAGCAAAAATTCATCTCACCCTCTCACCCTAATTGAGACAAAGGAAAAACAAAACCCTGTTACAAACAAGTATAGTTAAGCGAAGCAAATTTCCACATAGGCCATGTCCAAATATAGATGTGTGCAGAAAAGAGAGAGACAGAGAGAGTGTTTCTTTAACTGTTCACTTTTCCATCAGGAGATGGGTGGCATGTTTCATTTAGTAGGAATCATAGTTCATCATGTACATTTTTCAGAGTTTCTAATACTTTCAAAGTTGTTTGTCTTTACCAGTATTTTTGTCATGGTATAATTTGTTCACCTAGTTCTGATCATTTCACTCCACATCAGTTCATACAGTTCTTCCCAGGTTTCTCTAAAAAACATACTCTTCATCACTTTTTAAAGCACAGTAGTATTGTCTCATTTATTTACTGTAACTTCTTCAGTCATTTCCATTTTGCAGGAACCTCCCAAAATTCCCATGCTTTGCCACGTTGAAAAGAGCTATAAATATGTTTGTACATCTTTAGAGTCTGCTTTGCTTAGGATTAATTCTTTCTTTAATCTCCCCTCCCTCTAATTCTCCCTTTTCCTTTCTCCCCTTTGTTTCCTCTTAATTTGTAGAATGAAATGTTTTCTACACCCCACTCTGTATTCTTCCGCCTTTTGACAAGTTCAGATGACACTGAGGTTCAAGTAAAAGTCATTTTTCTCATCTCATCTCACTGTTTGTCTATTTGTGTACCCCTGATTATGTGAGATGATTTTCCCTAGACTTATCCCTCCCTTGTATATTCCTCTTCCTCTTCCTCTTCCTCCTCCTAAGATCATCAAGACAGAAAACCACTCCCAGGTCTTCTGTCTATATAGATTCCTTCTGTTACCCCTGATAGTGATAGATAGGTTCAGGAGCTACGTATATCGTCTCCCTCTATTTGAATGTAAGTATTTTATCCTTGTTTTAGTCCTTTATGATTGTTATTCAAATTTACCTTTTTATTAAAGTTACTCTTATCACCTGTGTTTTGGGCTTCAAAGTTTCTACACAGCTCTAGTATTTTCATCAGGAATGCTTGAAATCTTCTATTTCATTTTTCCTCCATAGGATTATATTCAGTTATGCTGGGAAAATTTTTCTTGGTTATAACCTGTATCCTTTGCCTTCCAGGATATTGTATTCTAAGCTCTCCACTCCTTTGCACTGCTGACTGCTAAATCATGTGTGATTTTTGACTGTGCCCCCTCAGTACTTGATTTTTTTCTTTCTGGCTGCTTGCACTATTTTTATTTTGACGTGAAAGTTCTGTATTTTCACTTTAATGTTGTTGCTAATTTTCATTTTGGATTTGTTTTTGTTTTTGTTTTGTTGTTCAGGAGGTGACCAGTGAATTCTCTTCATTTATACTTTGGCCCCTGGTTCTAAGATCTGGGCAATTTTCTTTTAAGATTTCTTGAAAGATGATATGTAAGCTCATTTTTTTGGTCATGCATATAATCCAATGATTCTTAATTTTTTTTTCTCCTTGATCTGTTATCCAAGTCAGTTGTTTTTGCTTTGAAATATTTTACACTTCATTTCATTTTTTTTTCTAGTCTTTTGTTGTTCTTTTAATATTTTGTTTCAAGGGGTCACTGACTTCCATTTGGTTCATCTTAATTTTTAGGGAGATGGTTGGTTATTCCAAGCTGTTATTTGCCTTTCCAATTCTCTTTTCCATAACTTTCATTTCTTTTCTGTTTTTTCCCTCAAACAGTCATTTCTTTATTAAAAAAAATTTTAAATTCTCCATTTAACTCGTATTTCAAGTTGTCCAGAAATTCTAGTTGACTTTGTATCCAAGCTGTGTTTTTCTTTGAGACTTTCCCTGTAAATGTTTTCTGAGGGCATTGACTCTTGTGTTGACCTCAGGGAAAGTCAGACTAGAGACTTGGAGGCTTTCGGTGCTCCCAGGGCAAAGTCTGATTGCTGCCTCCTTGGTCTTATCTCTACAATTTGAATCTGAGCCATAGTGGACTGCTACTGGACACAGACACTGTCAGTCAACTGGGAAGCTGGGAAGGTTCAGAGTGACAGAATTATAAGTTTTTCTTTGGTCTGGGAATCCGGCCTTAGTTTTCCTCTGGCAGATTTCAGATAGGGCTAGAAGCTAAAACTGAAATGCCAAGTTACACCACTGCTACTGGCTTCTGAACTTGCTTCTGGCTTACATCTCCCAAACAGGGGACCCTTTCTCAGTCCACCCTTCATCTTTGAACCAGAACTAAGCAGTGAACAATAAAGCTGACACATGGCACCTGTTACCATTTCAATGCTCTGGCATTGGTCTGGGGTTGACCTAAGGCGTCCTCTCCCTCTGGGACACAGCCTCTCCCTAGACTGGTCTTCTCTTGCATTGCTCCTGGTCAGACTCTATCTGTAGTCTGAACAGTGTTCTCTATCCTTCTCCCTATGTTCACCTGGGTTGGCAAAATGACTTTGACTTTTTTTTTTTAGTTTCAATTTCCCTATTAAGATTTGATCTGGTGCATTTACTAGATTTGTTCAAAGGAATTTGAAAGGACTTCAGTGTATCACTTTCTGCTACTCTGCTTCTTGATTCTACCTCTCAAGTATTATTCCTTATACACAAAAAAAGCAGTTATTTTCATCAAAACATTTTAGTTTAGTTGTCACATCCTCATCTGTGTTGACTGCCTCTCCAATAATTTTAGTAGTATCCAACTGAAATTGATTTTTAAAGTGATCAAACCAATAAAGGCTTTCAGTAAAAAAATTCTTCACTGTTCACTTGATTTCAGTTGTCTTTCACTGACTTATTTAAATGTTAAGCTTTTGTCTGAATGGCTGCCCTGCTAAGATAAAATCTTCTTTTGATTGTGATCTTCAATTCATACAGTTAATGGATTGCTACTAGCAATCCACATGCTTTATTTCTAACATTATAATATTTCTTTTACTGGTAGTTATTTGCAAACCATAGAAAGCTAATGCAACTTTGCCTTTTTATTTTATTTTACTGTGTTTTATATAATATTTTGTATCATAGATTCAGGCATTCTGACATTGCATCTTATTTTAGAGTTACTATGACCATGTCCTACTTTTCAAGTACATATTTTTTTTGTTCTAATGTAATAACACACCTCATCATTTTTGCACTGGCATATTTTCATTTACTGTGTTTTTTTTTTTCTTGTTCATTTTGATAAGAACTACTTTATTTTTATTCATTCATTCATTCATTCATTCATTCGTTCATTCATTCATTTATTTATTTATTTAAACAATTTGGCTTCCATAGTTCTTTCTTTGGGTGTGGATAGCATTTTCCATCATGAGACTTTTGGAGATGTCTTAGATCCTTGTATTGCCAGGAAGGGTTAAGTTTATCAATATTAGTCATCACACAACATGGCTGTTATTGTGTACAATGTTCCCTTGGTTCTGCTTACTTCACTCAGCTTTCTAGGTTTTTCTGAAGTCAGTCTGTTCATCATTTCTTATAGCACAATAGTATTCCATCACATTCATATACCACAACTTGCTCAGCCATTCCCCAATTGATGGTCATCCTCTCAATTTCCAATTCTTGGCTACCACAAAAAGAGCTGCTGTGAATATTTTTGTACATGTAGATCTCTTTGGGATATAGCCCTAGAAGTGCTATTGCTGGGTCAAAGGGTATGCACATTTTTATAGCCCTTTGGGCGTAGTTCCAAATTGCTCTCCAAAATAGTTGGATCATTTCACAACTCCGCCAACAATGCATTAGTGTTCCAATTTTCCCACATCTTCTCCAACATTTATCATTTTCCTGTTTTGTCATGTTGGCCATTCTGATAGGTATGATGTGGTACCTCAGAGTTGTTTTGATTTGCATTTCTCTAATCAACAGTGATTTAGAGCATTTTTTCATATGACTGTAGATGGCTTTAATTTCTTCATCTGAGAACTGTCTGTTCATAGATAAGGGCTACTTTAAAAAAAATTAGCACAACCATTGGCAATATGGTACACAGCAGGACATTATGTCCACACTAGACAATAAACAAGGGCAGGATGATGATATGTTAATTGAATTTTGGGTCATTTAAAATATAACCTGGTAACATTTTATAATTCACACTAAATTGAATTTTGCATTGTTTTAACTAACATTAATTATAACCTCGCTATAGCTAAGAGGTCATAAGCCTCTTGCATGCCACATGTTCCAGTATCTTGAGTTCATATAGACACTCTTTTCATATCGAAATTCATCCGATGTTCCCTTGCTCACCTACCAAAACCTCCCCTTCCTTGGGAGCTTTGTCAAGGGGATAATTGATACCTGTCTTTACCTCTTGAGAGGCCTCTGCAGAGAGAGTACCTCATTTTTCTGTAAGGGCTGGATAAACACCTTTCCTCACATTCATCCAGAGGTAACAAGTTAACTGGGGATCCCTTCTCTTCCAGGTTCATATAGTAACAGTTTTTACAGGTTCACACATTCACTATTATCATGTAGTAACAATTTGACCTCCCTCATGCTATTAGAAAGCAAGACACCTTCCAAAAATACCATCCCTTAGTCTACCCCAGGCCTGTTGTTAAAAAGCATTGTCTCGATGAGAATGGAAGTCTGCCCGGGGAGGGGACCTGAGCTATTTTTCCAGAATATACAGAGTCCTGGGGCAGCTAGGTGGTGCAGTGGATTGAGCTACGGCCTTGGAGTCAGGAGGACCTGAGTTCAAATCCAGCCTCAGACACTTGACACTTACTAGCTGCCTGACCCTGGGCAAGTCACTTAACCCCATTGCCTCATCAAAAAGCAAAAAAACCAAAAACAGAGAATATACAGAGTCCTCAGAGGGGAGGGGAGGTTTAATAAATGATTATTAAATTGAAATCAACCAGTAATTTTTGTCCTGAGACTTTTTTTTTTTTAATTTTTGCTCTGATATATCATATTGTATAATAACAAAGATTTTGTCAAGGAGATTAAAGAAAAATAGAATCTTAGACCTTGAAGGGAATTTGGAGATTGCATAGTCAAGCCCCCTTATCTAATAGATTATAAAAGAGAAACCCAAAGAAGATAAGGTCAATTTATGATTATACTCATGGGGAAAACAATGTTTCCTTAATATTAAGGAGCTGTAATTATTATGTGATTTTTTTTTCAGTGATCTTTTAAAAATTCCCATTTTTATTAGGTAGCCAATTTTTCAAATATGGATGAAGATGATATTGAATTAGAACCTGAAAGAAATTCAAGAAATTGGGAGGAAATCATTCCAGAAGATCAAAGAAGAAGGCTAGAAGAAGAAGAAAGACAAAAGGAACTTGAAGAAATATATATGCTACCAAGGATGAGAAACTGTGCAAAACAGGTAGCCTTTTAATGTAAAATATGTTTATATTGGATATGGTAATAAGTCATACTTGGAATATCTTTTTGTGACTTGGAAATATTTATGAATTTTCTGATAACTAGATACAGAATGAAACATGTATATTTGTGCATGTACATGCAATTATTTCTAAGAGTATTATTATTTTGATTACTTAGAAATATTTGCCACCTTGACATTCCAGATTAGCTTCAATGGAAGTGAAGGCCGACGCAGCAGAAGTAGAAGATACTCTGGATCCGATAGTGATTCAATATCTGAAAGAAAAAGGCCAAAGAAACGTGGAAGACCAAGGACTATCCCACGAGAGAATATTAAAGGATTTAGTGATGCAGAAATTAGGCGGTAAGATTAAATAAAACCATTTTGCTTCAACTTGACATTATACAGGGTACAGCTAAAATAACATCAAACTCTCCCATCTTTCCAAAGGTCAAGTTCAACTTATGCAGGAATTGAATTTGTTAACTAAGATTTGTTTCACAAGCAGTTTTGTGGTTCTCTTCTGTCTGGTATTGGCCTTGCATTTCTTCCTATTTATGTACTATTAGGTTATTTAAAATGTTGAATACCTAACTTAATGTTTTTGGTCCCATAATGTAGCTAGCTTAAAAATTATTGCCATTTTGAGTAATAAAAGTATACATTGACACATCAGTTTTTTTCATCTTCTACTCTCTTTTTTTGGTAATCCATACCATTCTTAATATGTTGAAGAATCCAACTCTATTTTTATGAAGGGATAAATTACTTGCATATTTTTTCTATAAACACTGCAATGATTTTTTTTTTTAAGAACCATGTTAATTAAGATATTTGAATTGAGAGTAGCAATTGGGAAGTAAGGTCAGATAGCTATGCAGTATACAGTGGAATATCCCTTCAAATATGTTCATGTATGTGCAAATGCATTTCTTTAATGGTAGTGGGAAAATAACTGTCATTTTTGTTTATGTAATCTTTTTTTTGGATTTGAAGTTTGTAAAAATGTTATTCACTTCTGTATTTTCAGAGTTTCTATTTAATATTTCTATTAAAACCATTGTAACCTTTTTCTTTTAAATTATAGACATGCCATAAAGTTCTTCTCCACCAGAAAGCTTAAAGTGCTGCAGCTATTATTAAAGATGCTTTCATGCCTATTTGAGTGGTTGGAGCCTTTCTTTAGAAGAGGCATTTGACTCTTCTTCCTTTCCATAATCACTCATATGTTTTTGTTTTTAAATAAGATTTTTATTTTTCAGTATTGGTGTCACCTCATAACTTGGAATTTAAATCCTTGAGTAATTATCAGAATTCTTTACTTTCATCTTGACTGTATCAAGGGAGTGTTAATATGGTTGTCACCCACCCTGAATTCATTGACGCCTACATTTCCTATGACTTAATGTCTAGCTCTGAAACAATTTTTTGTCTTGTGAAAATAATAAAATAATTTCTGAAATAAATTTTAGCTTCTATTGTTTTATTTGTACTGGTTTCTAAAATTAGTATAAGACTGGGTTTTTAAATATGTGTATACTATGGATGGGGGGGCATTCTTTTTTTTTTTGCATTGTCCATTTAGTTTGTTCATGATAGCAATACTTTGATTTTTTCCATTAATAAGCATTTATGCCCACTATTTTCTATAACTTGATATATTTTTAATAATGAAGTTTAGTTGAGCACACATTTAAACAGCAATTATTTTCTGTTAGGTTTATCAAGAGTTACAAGAAATTTGGTGGTCCTCTGGAAAGGTAAATGCAATTATCCTTGAAGTAAAATTTACTATTTCCAAATAGATGATTGTATTTGTTTTGTTCAGAAAATTTGTGCTTATGTTTTAAATTTAGGTGCTTCATTTTCACTTATTTTGAAAAAAGCATTTTTAAAAGAACCTTTTCCCCACCATTGGGAAGACTAATGTATTTTAATTTCTAAAATTCATTCCAGGTCAAAATTCTGTGATTCTTTAGATACTTTAGTGCTATCCTTATTTGCATAAGTTTGCTATGCAAATCTTACGAACATTCAAACTGAAAAGCCTTTGGTTTTTCTGAGCTGGCCTGTTGACTTCAGTAATAGTCAGTGATTTGAATATTCTTTTCCCTTTTTTTAGCCAAACTACTGCTAAAAATTTAATTTTGGTCAAACTGTCCACTAAATGCAGGAAATTACGTATTGTATTCTGATGACATTTCTTTGTTCAGGTAAAACATTGCATTTTAATAGCTAATTTTCATTTGGTTCCAGAAAACCTATTTGAGTATTATTCATTTGAACAAACTGTTTGCATAGTATTTGTATTAATGTCTTATCTATTCTTGGGAATCAAAAATGATACAAGCTATCTGTCTTATTTGATTTATTAATTACCTTTTAAACTTTGTCATATTTATCAGAAATGTTAACTGTTTCTTATCAGTTCATTTAAAAATTGTCAGGTGGTTCATTATCTCCAGATTAGAAAAATGACATTTTAACAAGTGATAAAAATCTTAACCACCCCTTTAACTTTGAAGATATTATACTATACTACTATGCTAATGGGAAAACGATTTCCCATTAAATATTTCTATGGTTTATTTTATTCAGGTTGTGTAGACTAGAATTTATAGTAACTTAACCAGAGCTAGAATAGCCTGTTACACTTCTCTACTTTTTCTTGATCATTTATGTAAAACTCCTGTAAATTTTAAAGTTCTATATAAATGGCAGCTATTGATATAGTCCACAACCTATTGTAATATACCTGATAAATCTTTTGCTGATATTTTATTTCAGATTAGATGCAATTGCTCGAGATGCTGAATTAGTTGATAAGTCAGAGACAGACCTCAGACGACTAGGGGAGCTGGTGCATAATGGCTGTGTCAAAGCTTTAAAGGATAGTTCCTCTGGACAGGACCGAACAGGTACAATGTTAAAGTACTATTGGAGAATTCTTAAAAATGCAAAAAAAAAGAGTGTAGATATTGGATCACAATTCTTATTGAACTTTAATTGGAATAATACTAAGTACTCGGCATGTTTTCTTCAGAAAATTTTAAAAATCCCATTGTTCATTAAATGCTTTCTGCCATCAGAAGAAATTCATAGATTTTTGTTTCATTGATTAAATGAATCATTTATTTCATTGAATTTCACTGACCTATACATATTCGTTTGCCTAGTCCCTTATGAATGGCACACTTAAGAAATATCTACTTGGGTTCCTGTAAAATGGGGGAAAAGGAGAAATGGCTCACATTATGGTGATAAGAAGGAATGATGTCATTCATTGATATTATTCATACCAGTGCTAACTTCTGTTACAGGTGCCTCAAATTGCCCAACGTGTTCTTAAGAGGCTAACTTTTGCTTTTGTTTAAGTTTTAATTTTAATTTTAATTTTTAATTTGTTTTAAGTTTAATCTTTAATTCTTAGCACAAGACCAGCCCTCCTCCTTTTTTGTTCATACAGTTTTTTGATGACACCTACTTCTTTACGATTCTTTATTTGTTACATGTTGCAACTTGCTTATACATACCATGTGCCTCTCCTTTGCCCTGCATGATACACATTTAATTCTTTGGAGACTACTATTACATAATCCACAAATCATAGAATAATAATTGTCAAATATTTATATTAAAAAGTTAGGCTTTAATTTCAGAAAGAAGTTTGGAGTCATTAAAGGTGAAAAGGACCCACCTTTTCAATATTGAATCTCTTTCATCTGTTTGCAGTGTCTGTCCAAAGCATATATGCCAGTGAATGCCAGCTATATAGACTGTCCATTTAACTGCATGTCATAGCCTGGACAATATGTATTTTTTTTGGCAAGGCAATTGGGGATAAGTGATTTGCCCAGGGTCACATGGCTAATAAGTGTCAGGTGTCTAGTCTGAGACCAAATTTGAACTCAGGACTCCAAATTTGAAGGCCGGTGCTCTATCTACTGTGCCACCCTCCTTCCTTCCCTCCCCCCGAAGTATTCTGGATCTATTTGATTTTTCCTGTTTAGTTTTAGAACTTATCAAGGAGATCTTATGATGATGCAACCAGTGAAAAGTAATCTCCCAGTAGGAGCTTCTGCAAGACCATTAGGGAATTTATATAGATTTAAAATAACCAGTTTTGAATTTATAAGTTTTCTTGTACTATAGAAATGACTGAATTAAGTAATGTTATATTATTGGGCTCTCCAGGGCTCAAAGTTATCCCCAACGTATTTCCTAGATTCTCTCTATTAGTCTTAACAAAAGAAAGAGTTACTGCTCTTGGGTGGCAGGAAAGACAAAAGCAGAGCATGAAGCAGGCTGCATGATATTGAGAGAGAGCTGTTGATAGAAATGCTAAATATTGCATATTCTGACAGTTGTCATGTGCTAACAGATAAGGTTTCACTAAGTGGTAGTTTTGCTTAATGATTTTTTTGTTTTTTTGTTATATGAAGAAAGTTCTTTGGGTGGTGTTGATGGTAGTATACAGTTTTGACTGGGGTTAAAGAAAAAAAAAAGGCATCCAGAAAATTTAAAGAAAAGAAAATGGTTATAAGAATTATTCATCTGATCCCATCCTTTAGTGTTGATGAAATTGGTCATCACTTACTTAAATATGTTAAAGATGTCTGGGAGTGAGTTTAGATTAGTTACGCATCATTCCATTTAAACGATTTGAAATGCAAATGTACTAAATACTGAATGATTTTATTGCAAATTAATTTTTTTGTGGGGGGGGAAATTCAAGCATGGAAGCATGGAAAAAGGCTATTTGAGTGGATGTAATCTTGTCTTTTTTGATGCACAAAATAGTTTAAACAAATTTTTGAATGACATTTTCTGTCTGTGAGGCAATTTAAACAAAATAGCAAAAAAGTAGATGGTTCGATTAAATGAAATAAACTGTATAACCTGTGATTTAAAATTAAACTTACAGGATTATTGCAAAACAATAGAGCAGGCCAGTTTATTTCTTTACATGTAGTATTGTTTAACTAGAAAATGACTTCTGTGTGAAACTGATTAAATGAGGTTTTGAGAAATTTTTTTTCTCTGTATTACAGGACTCTTGCTATTTGAACACAGACCTTTTATGACAGAACCTTGTAAGGAAACACCTACTGGTTCTTTTTTTTTTTTTTTGGTAACTTTGTTTTATTCCATTAATAGGAATTTAATTTCCCTCTCTCCTCCTGTTGAGATAAAAAAAAAAAACAATTTCCCAAATTTGCCAAGTCTAAAAATGTATGTTTCATTCTCTGTCAATTAGTATTTCTTAAGTGCCTACTATGTGCCAGGCACTGTTCTAAGCATTGGGAATACAAAGAAAAGCAGAAGATAAGTCTACAAAGAGTTCAGTCAAATGGTGCAGACAACAAGAAAAATATGTGCAAAGACACTATATACAGAATAAATGGAAAATAATGAATAGAGTAAAGGCACTTGAATTAAGAGATTTGAGAAAGGCTTCCTGTAGAAAGTGATATTTTAGTTGAGATTAAAAGAAAAGAAGCTAGGAGGTGGCTTTGAATGCTAAACAGTGGATTTTGTATTTGATCCTGGAGATGATAGGGGGCCACTGGACTTTATATACTCATGTGAAGGTGATATGATCAGACCTGAGTTTTAGAAAAATCACTTTGGTGGCTGAATGGAGGGTAATCTAGAGTCGGGGAGAGACATGTAGCAGGCAGACCCACTAACAGGCTGTTGCACTAGTCCAGGCCTGAGGTGTTGAGGGCATGTACCATGGTAGTGGTGTTATCAGGGGAGGATAAAAAGGGATATTATGGGAAGATATTCCAAAGGTGAAATAAACAGGCTTTTGCAACAGATTGGATATTGGAGGGAGAGAGAGTGAAGGGTTGAGAATGATGTCTAGGTTGCAAGCCTGGGGACTGGGATGATGGTGGTGCTTTCATTCTGTATCACCTCTCTGTTTATAGTAGTTTTTATCATCAGTCCTCTGTAATTATGATTGTTCATTGAATTGTACAAAGTTCTTAAGTATTTCAAAGTTGTTTGTCTTTGTGGTGTTGCTTTTATGTAAGTTATTTTTTCCAGTTCTTCTTGCTTAATTTTGCATCAGTTCATACATGTCTTCTGGTTTCTCTGAAATCAATCTTTTGTAATTTTGTAATGGTATAATAGTACCCCATTGCATTAATTTACCATAACTTGTTCTTTTGAGTATGTTATCTTTATATTGCTATACTTTGTATCCTGTAAAGTTGTTATATATTATCATATTATGTCATACATAATTACATCATAAAAATTTATGTTTTTTAAGGTGGTAGACTTGGAAAAGTGAAGGGTCCAACATTCCGAATATCAGGAGTGCAAGTGAATGCCAAACTAGTCATCTCTCATGAAGAAGAATTAGTGCCATTGCACAAATCGATTCCTTCAGATCCAGAAGAAAGGAAACAGTGAGTGTTTCCCCCTATTTAAATTTTTTTTGATAATTAATAGTTTGTATATGTGTTATATCTGGTTTTCACAATGATATGTCTTAGGTAGTTTTAAAATTGAAATAAGGCATTTTTTAATGGAGACAATAATCTTGAAAAATTCCTTTTATATATAAAAATAAAACAAAATGACTTAATAGGGTAATTAATTTTCTTGTTAGGTATACCATCCCATGCCACACAAAGGCAGCTCACTTTGATATAGACTGGGGCAAAGAAGATGATTCCAATCTATTAATTGGTATCTATGAATATGGGTATGGCAGCTGGGAAATGATTAAAATGGATCCTGACCTTAGTTTAACACACAAGGTATGTATGTTTCAACATTCTCAATTCACATTTTGGGTTTTTCTTTGGTATTAATGTAACCCTTACCTCTTTGAATTGAAGCTTTAGATAAGGATTCAGGACATCTACATTCTAGTCCTTTCCTTGTAAAGAAGCTAGATGTATAGCGGTTATGAGACACTTTGATTTTGTGCATTTCTGGGCATATCCCTTGACTTTTCTCAGCCTAAATTTCCTCATCTGTAAAATGGGGATAATTGAGTACCTACCTCCTAAAACAGGATATGGTCACAAACAAGCCTTACTGAATCCAAGGCCATTATAGTATCCTACTCCATGACATGCCCAATACCTAAGTTCTCTCCAGTTCAAAAATTCTCCTTTTTGTGGCAAATTCAAGGCAGGAATACTTAACCTTTTTATAAGTCAGTGACCCCTTTGGCATTCCAATAAAGGCTATAGACTTCTCAGAATGTTTTTAAATGCATGAAATTGAATACATGGCCTTATAGGAAGCCAATCATATTAAATATAGTTATCAGATTTTTAAAAATTCTACATGCCCAAAGAATCCCTTACTCTTAATACATTTTTAAAAATTTTAGATGACTAAACTCTAAAAATGGGTTTTTGATAAATGCTTCTGTTTTCTAATGCCATAAAAAGTTTTTGACATTTTCTTTAAAAGTTCAGAATAATTATTTAAAACATTAAGTGCTTTAAAATTTTAGGTTACTTTAATCTTTCTATATAGCAAGGGCTAAAAGCAAAATTGGTCCTAATGAAAGGAAGCAAATTTGATCTCACAGGTATCATTGATATTTGTGGATAGGGATGAGACCTATGACTAAAATATGACTCTAAGAATGTATACATCATTCAAAAGAAAGAATAGCCAAAAAATGGGACATCGTAGCATTATATGTTAGGAAGATACGTTCATGAGAGGAAAATCAGAAGCCAGAGCTGGGAATAGTGTAGTGGAGAATATCTCGGGTAAAAGATCAGTAAAGGCAAACACAGAACCAATATTGTCATTAGAGTAGACTTCTCTTTTCTCTGCCAGTGATTTGGATAAAACACGGATCGCATGTTTACCAGATGTACAAATGACATAAATATGGGAAAATTAACTTGGTTATCAGAGTTAGGATCCAAGAATACCTCCACAGGTTGAGCTGGGTAAGATGTAATTTAATGGAAATAAATATGAAGTCTTCCAGTTGGGTTAAAAAATTCATCTTACAAATACATAAGTTGAGGGAGACATGATTAGAAAGTAGTTTGAAAAAGATCAGAGACCATTAGTAGATTACAAACTCAATATGAGTCAACAGTGTGTGACTTGGCATCTTTAAATTAAAAAAAAAAGAAGAAAGAAATATAGCTGAATTCCCTACCTTGATTAAACACATTACTAGATTTCTAGTCACAGAGGATCAAAAACTAGGAAGTCAGAGGCATAATACCTAGCAATAAGGAGATGATAGTACTAGTACCCTTTGTACTGGTGTGACCGCATCTGGAATATTGTGTTCAGTTTTGAGCATTTTGCATTTTAGGAAAGGGGGAAGAATGATAGCTGTACTCAAGTATTTAAAGAGGGATTAGACTTATTCTTACTAGCCCCTCGGAGCAAAAATAGGTAGATTTTGGGAAGAGTTAGATTTATGTTTGGGGTAAGGAAAAAGCTTTCTAACAGAATTATCTAATATCGTTTTATTTTGAATTGTCAGAGAGGGAAAAACTTAAAGGTTTTAAAATTTGTATTAAAGTTAGTCTTTATCAAAGAAAATAAATGTTCATAAAGTTATTTACTAAATCCCTATTATAAAGCTCTCTGCAAAGTTCATGCTGTGAAATCTCCATATAGGTAATGTCATTTATCACGATGTTTAGGAGGCTATACTTAATGTGTGGTCACTGCGTAGTGTAATAATTAAACTTGTTTATATACAATCTGAAAATTTATAGTGAATTCTGCTTTATCTTATAGTATTGCATCAAGTGTCCAGTTAAAAGCCCTTCTATGACTGGAGGGAAAAAAAAGGAATTTCACAATAGTTCTCTCCTCCTTTACTGGTTTAAACCATTGATCTCTTCCCATTTTGAAGAGTCTTTAGAAAAGTAGTATAATTCTATCTTTGAGGAAATTCTTTTTGTTATGTTATTTAATGCTTTATATTCCTTGAGAATTCATTCCCATGAAACAGTCAGGAACTTTCCTATTCTGTGGAAAAGGGTCAAAGCAGATTTTACAAATCATATTTTTTTAAACTTCTTATAAGTAATGTTGCTGCATAGAAAACCAAATGAGTTTTTGGTAATCATTAAAGAACTACATACATGTTGGCTATTATTATTATTACTGCTGTTATTATTAATGATTCAATATGATGAGACTTTAAAAGTTAGTTACTTTTCAGATTCTACCAGATGATCCTGATAAAAAACCCCAAGCAAAGCAGTTGCAGACCCGAGCAGACTACCTCATTAAATTACTTAATAAAGATCTGGCAAAAAAAGAAGCCCAGAGACTTTCTGGTGCAGTAAGTACAATTCATTTACTATTGGGTTTCTCTAAATTTGATAAAAAATTTTATTATCTGAAGAGTAATTTTTCCTACTTTTCTCATTTTTGTTCCTTCATTTTTAATATCTCACTTCCATCATGAATCCTAGGACAAAAAAATAGCAGAAATAGGATACCATATAGCTGACTCCTTTTTTGGTGGATGTTGTGGTAGAATGAGAAGGCAAAAGTTTACGTTTAGAGAAATGATGGAGATTGGAAGAAGGGAGCTTGTGGGAGCACCGCAGAGGAAAATTTAGGCAGGAGGTCATGAAGGTATTGGTCCTAGAGGTGGGATAGGATTACTAAAAGAGAGGTAGGAAAATAAACTATGGACTTTTAAGTTTTGTGCAAGACTATAGGGGCAACAATTGGAAGTTCATGAAATTTGGAATCATTTTCACTGTTACTTTTGATACATGCCCTGGGGAAAAAAGTATTCCTAACTTCAACTCCGAGTATAGAAACAATTACTATTAGTATTTATAGTTTAGATTTGGGGAGTTATTATTGAATTCCACATAATTTATTTGTTGACCTCCATTATCTTTGTGGATTTGTTTTTATGATTGCTAATTGCTTGTCACTAAAAAAATTAAAAGTGGCCGTAAATATTTGTGATATCTCACCATTTTAAATTTAGTAATGAATTACGTTCTGCAAAATGGAATCTAGAGTTAATTAGTATAAAAGTGAAATCCTTATTTTTAGGGAAATTCGAAGAGGAGGAAAATAAGGACTAAGAAGAATAAAATGGTGAAGTCTGTTAAAACGAGAGAAGAAATAAGGAGTGATTCTTCTCCATTGCCCTCAGACAAATCTGATGAGGATGATGACAAGGTGAGAATATTTTTTAAAATGATTGATTTTTTTTTTTTGCTCTTTTAAAGATACTTGATGAGTCTCTTATTGATTTAAATTAATAACTTGAGTTAAGTCATCTGCCATAGTTTTCCCACATGGAAATTCTCTTTATGATTCGTATTTCATGGCTCAACTTATGCAAAGTTCTACTCATCACTAAAGTCCTTTCTTTCAAATATTTGCCATTTGAATTCTTTTCCTTCCTAGTTCATTATGAATATTTGATGGGGCTGCTTGCCTTCATTTTATTACAAGAAAAGCTTGCATGTACCAACAGGATTTGAAGTCCTTTTATTCAGATTCCATATTCATGCAAGTGCCCCTTATTGTAGAAGGGATTATTAATTTTTCATTAGTTAGCTATTGCTGAGACTTGGTTAGTAATATGGTGCAAATTTTGCACTTTGCAGGATGAGATCACTTCTGTGAAACATCCAAATAGAAAAGTAAAAGCAGAAAAAGACAGTGAAGAAAAATCTGAGCCAGATGTTTGTGTAAAGAAGGAACAAGAAGAAAAAAGGGAAGCAAAAGAAAAGGAAAATAAGAGAGAACTTAAAAGGGAGAGAAAAGAAAAGGAGGATAAGAAAGATATAAAGGAAAAAGATATTAAAGAAAAAAGAGAAAGCAAAATAAAAGAAGCTATGCAGAAAGACAAAGACATAAAGGAAGAAAAGGTATGACAATCACATTATGCAACTTTAAAATATGGAAAATTGAATAAAATATTCACATCTGGGGAAGAAACACTGTCCAACAATTCCTCCAATATTTTAGTTATGTTGAAAACCTTTCCCTTAAAGACCTTATTATTTCTACCTCCAGCAGAGAAGAACAACAGTTTGGAAACAAATTGATAATATGTCCTTAATAATATAAAAATAATATATGTGTAGTACTTTTTAGCTAAAACACTTTGCATACATTGTCTCATTTTAAACCTCACAATAGTCCTATTGGGTAGGTAATACAAGAATTACTAGTGAGTATATTATTATCCTGTTTTTTAGTGAGGTTAAGTGACTTACCAAAGGTCACTTAATGTAGAAAGAAATTACAGGAAGTTTACACATTTTCTTCATTTTTCATTTCCCCAATTAAATTTGGCGAAGGTAGGATTTTAAGAAATTTAGTAAGGATAAGTACTATTGAGTCTAAAGTTTAGAAAGGTACATTTTTTGCTATAGTCAGTTTTCTAGAATTATTTTGTTTTTTTTTCCTCTTAGCTCAGTGAAACCAAATCTGATAGCAAAGAAAAATCTAAGAAATCCACACTTTCAGACGCTCCAGTTCATATCACTGCAAGTGGTGAACCAGTTCCTATATCTGAGGATTCTGAGGAGCTGGACCAGAAGACATTCAGTGTTGTAAGTAATAGGCTTTCTCTCAGCATTGAGTTATTTTAATATTATTTCATTTGACACTATATTTTTATAATTTAGGTCTCTCTAGTTTGCAGATTAAAAAAACCATATTAGAATTAAATTGAATAATGCTGTAATTCACATTGATTCCCATCATAATGGCATTTATAACATTTACAGAAAGTTTTTTTATAGGTCACTTTCAGTAAGGACATGGAATATATTTTATTAAATTGTCCCCTAATTCTAAGGTCTTATGTTTCTTAATTATATCATTTGTCCTCTAAAATAGTCTAATACCTCACTTAAAATATCGTTTATTGTAGATGGAATTCAAGATAAAAAAGAGTACATCTTGGATTGCTCCCTAAGGGAATTTAGTTAGTTGCCTTACCCATAAGACAATCTGGGACATGGCCTCTGAAGATAGCTCTCATGAGGATTCATTGTGCTCTGCTATCTAAATATGTACTGTCATGTCAAACAAGACTGCTTTGACATAAATGTTGTGAAATTATGAGATCATGAAGGAAACAAAAGAAGTCTACATGCTGTAAAAAGCAAGGAACTAATGAACCTAAGGGTTTGATGGATATTGTCTCTCAGTGATTTTTTTAGCTCTCTTGTGTTCAGCTATCATCTCTGGAACTTCAAAGTCTAGAGATCCATTTCCTTTCACTTCAGCCAGCCAATATTTATTAAGTACCTGCTATGTGTTAGTCACTGGCCTTTCTATTTACACTGCAACCACCCTAGGCCAGGCTTCCTTCACTTCCCACCTGGACTGTTGCAATAGCCTCATAATTGGTCCCGTGATGCAGTTTTCTTCCCTCTGCAATTCATTCTCCACACAGCTCTCATAGTTATATTCCTAAAGTGTCTGATTATGTCACTCCTGATCAAGAAGCTTCGTGTTCCCAGCACTGCACACTCCACACACACAACACACACACACACACACACATACATCTCGGTTCCCCATCCCTCATTGCCATTTGCATAAGCTACAAACTCCTTTCTTTGACTTTTTGAGTCTGACTATGACCTGTCTTTCCAAGATGATTACCCATTACATCTTATCACTCATTCTGCCTTCTAGCCAAATTGGTCTGCTAGCTTATCCATGGTACATGCTATTTTATCTCCAGCCTCCATGTCTTTGCACACGCTGCTGCTTATGCCTAGGTGCTTCCTCTTCACCTCTTGCAACAAACATAGTCCTGTCTCACTATCCATTCATATTGTCCAAATTCTTTGGGATTCTGGTTCATAGGATTGTCAAATACAAGGCACCTTAGGTGTCATCTAATCTCATTTTACAAACAAGGAACTTGAGGCTCAGAGAAATTGAGTAATTTGCCCAAGGTCATTCATGCAGGTAATTAGTAACAGCTGAGATTTGATTCTCACTCCTCTGACTTGAAATCCAGCATGCAGTGGATGCTTCAAGATTTCCTTTTAGTCTTCTCATGGATTACCTTATAACATACTGTCCTCATCCCTATCATTCTTATCATAAAACTTTTAGCTGCTACTATTCTGAGATTTAAGACACCCATAGTGAATTATTGCCTCTCTGGCTTCTTTACTTCAAGTAGCTCTGTGTTTATACTTTTATACTCTCTTTTTTTTCTCGTAAGGTGAGTTTCATTTGCCACCTTCCTTTCACTTGTGCCTTAGATCTCATAATTTCCCATCTTTTGTTCTTTCTCAATCATTCTTTGATGTTGATCTTTTAATTTTGCTCTTTCTTCTCTCCTTCACTACCAAGCATATTTAGGCAGTATTTTATTCTTCCTTCATTTCCTTATTGACCATTGATTAATTAACCCCCTAAAATCTGTTTTCTTTTTTCCACCTATTTACTGATACTTTTCTCTCAAAATTCAAAAAGGGAGAACCCTTTTTGCCAAATTTAATTCAACAAACATTCATTAAGTGCCCATCCTATACGATGTGCTAGGCACCAAATCTAATTGTCCATTAGTCCATATAGATGAAGATAGTGTATTCCCTATCCTTTCTTTGTTCCCTCTATAGTTAATGAATTTAGAGTTGTCCTCATCATCATTTTCAAATCTTATGCCTATTGACTTCTCATTAGCCACTTTGTTTATTCACATTTTGGTGCAATAGAATATATGTAGATATTGCTGGAGGACTACTTCCATACTCAAATACCATACCATTTATGAAACCACCAATACGTGATGATCATCTCTCTCACATAGAACTTTGTTCTGCTATTTTCTCAAATACTTATCTTTTAATATTGTCATATACCCCTATTAAGCTATAAGCTCCATGAGAACAGAGACTGGGTCTTATCTAAATTATGTATCTCCTCTAGTGAATAGTGCAGTGTGTTGTACAAAGTATGTACTTGGTAAATTTTGATGTCATTGAATGAACCTGGATAAGTTCAAAGGGCTAATGCTAAGGGTTGACAAGGTAGGCTTTACTACTCATTCCACCGCATTTAGCAGCCAGTGCTCTAAAAATGAATAAAGTTTATGCCAATACCCATTACTGCCATGCCATTAAAAGGTGAAAGCAGAAATCAAGTCACAATTCACGTATATTCCAGTGGCTTTTTATAACTTAGACTTTGGTAGCTATACTTCCCACTTACAGTCATGTTTTAGAAATCTAGTCTAAAAACATCTGATATCTATCTCATGTTGAACAACTTCAGTCCCTGTAACTCTGCTATATGTTTCTAGTTTGCCAAATGGTGTAGAATTTGTGCCCCTAAGAAAGCTTATACTTAAATTGGTAAATTCTCCATCAACCAGAATTCTTACTGTGGTTGTAGTTTCAGTCAGTTATGGCATGAGAGCATTATTTACATGATGAATCTTGGATTCACTGATCCTATAGTCCAAGACATCATCTGAGCAGTTTTTTGTTTTGTTTTGTTTTTCTGAAGCAGCTCATCTTGACAATTAGAGCAGTGTTCAATGATTAGTAATAAAAGGCCAAACACTTTATTAGGTCATTTCTTCATCTGGTGTACATGTCCAAATAAGTGTTATTCTAGAAGGAAAAAATAATTGCCAAGAATATAATGCCATTGGACTCACTACCAAAGTCATAAGAAGGAAAGTACTTTGACACCCAGGTTGTAGCCTAGAAAGACTCCCTTAAAGACCTTGACTCAGAGATCTTGGACAGTGACAGCAGCAGTTTCAACACAAGTAGGTAGCCTTTAACTGGCATTTTGCCATGGTAATTTTTAAGCAATATAGGTATTTATCATATTTATTAATTACATATAGATTTTATGATAGGCATGTAGACATTGATTTGTAACATATATTAGGATATGTACCTTTACCATTGATTTTCATTTTTTTTGAAAGGATATATACCTTAATTATTATAGAAAATGGAAGATCATTATATTGTAAAAAAAAAAAATATAGTCTCCTTATGGTATATATCTAAGAGACTTTAAAGTTGTATCCACTAATGTAAAGTTTTAAAAAATTGTGTCAAGTATAATTCAGTACTTTTACCATATTTAAATATAGTGATTTCAAACTATGTATAAATTATTACTTTACAAAGAAAACCTGGTGTAAAACAGACTTTTAAGAACCATGAAATAAGTTTTATTGTTTAATTTGGCTTAGAATAATGCTATATTTGTTAATTATAATATAATTTAAAAGATGAATGATATTTCAGAATTCACCTTTTTAACACATATTATACTTTTTTTCTCCCCATTTTATAGTGCAAAGAAAGAATGAGGCCTGTCAAAGCAGCCCTGAAACAGCTTGATAGACCTGAAAAGGGGCTTTCAGAAAGAGAACAGCTAGAACATACTAGACAGTGTCTAATCAAAATTGGTGATCATATCACTGAATGTCTAAAAGAATATACAAATCCTGAACAAATTAAGCAGTGGAGAAAGTAAGTGATGTTTTCAGAGTCTTAATCTATAATTAGGTAATTATCCATTTCCATGTTGCAGCTTTGTGAAGTTTTTGTAACTTTGTTAAGCTGTGTAAATTGCTTTAAAAGTAACTTAATTAATTTCAAACCTATATTTCTCTTTATATTGATATTGTAGTGTGGCATTATTGTATATCATTCTATGTTTTTGCATTAAACCACTAGGTGGCAGATGTATCTTTGAAAAAGCAAGTGACAACCATTGTCATGCCAGTTGCATTTTTAATCCACAAAATCAACAAAAATCCATATTTGAAATTACATTGGAGGTGATTCTGCTAAATATTAATTCATCTCTTTTTTAACTCCTCCTTGGAGCAAAAGAAATATAGAAACTTACCTTGGAGCAAAGAAGTTTAAGAAAACAAGCCAACACATTGCCCATGTCTGAAAATTTATGCTTCTTTTCACATCTCTAGTCCAGCATTCTTTTAAGAGAGGGGAAGAAGTATTTTTCACTATCATTCCTCTGCAGTCATGATTGCTTACTGCACTGATGTGAGTTGTGATGTTTTTTGGACTTAATTCCTTTGTATTATTTGGTTTCTTATGTAAATTGTTCTCTTTACTTTTTTACTTTACTCTTTATCAATTCATACAAGTCTTCCCAAGTTATACTGAATTTTAGCCTTTCCCCATTTAATGAACACTTAATTTTTAGTTTTTTGCTACTATAAAAAATGCTTTAATAAATTTTTTTTACATATATAGAACCTTTGAGTTCAAATCCAACTTTGGATACTTTCTAGTCATGTGACCCTGGGCAAGTCATTTAACCTTTGTTGGCTTTGGTTTCCTCAACTAAAAAATGGAGATAATAATAGAACCTACTTTCCAGCATTGGTTTGAGGTTCAAATGAGATAATATTTGTAAAGCACTTAGCACAAGACCTGGCACATTTTGTTTACTGTACAGTTTGCTTGTTTACTTCTTTTGATCACTAGGCGTACAACATAGCCTATGCAAAAGTTTGATGACAGAATACTGACTTTGGGGGGTAGTGAGTGGGTCAGTTTGGCTGGAACACAACAGTGTGTTGAAAAACAGTAGTGTGAGATAAATCTGAAAAGTAACTGAAAACAGACTGACAGGCCTTAAATAGGTTAAAAAGATGTCCTTTGAGATTTAAAAGTTCAAGGTACAATAACAATGTCATCACTACTTCCCATCCTAAATAATATAAGATGTAGGAGTTCTTTTTGGAAGCCTATTGTGTATGTGTCTTCTCAAGTACTATGTCTGCAGTTTGAGGGAGTCTATCTTCCATTGAATGAGGTGAAGAGAACAAGAAACATGAATTTCTTTCTTAAATTATTCTACATAAAGATTAAGAATCTTTTTTTTCTCCTAGGAATTTGTGGATTTTTGTGTCTAAGTTCACAGAATTTGATGCAAGAAAACTACACAAATTGTATAAGCATGCAATTAAGAAACGGCAAGACTCTCAGGTAATAGGTTGTAATTTTTTCCCATAAACTTACTGTGCCATGAATTTCCAAAGGACAATCAGAGTAAAACTAAAAATGTATTTTCTAGGAGCCCAGATACAAATGCATTTTTGCCCTATTGAAAAGTATTAATTGGTTGTGAAAAATACAAAGTTTTGCAGAACCACATAATATGTGGCAGTTAGCTTCAAAAGAAACTGTTCTTCCTCTAATCCTGGCAAGGCAATTGTATTTTGTAACATTGTGGTGAGGTTTGCTCATAATATGCAAATATCATTCGTAGGGTGTGTCTGTAGATAGATTATGTATATCTCTCCTTTTGTATATAACACATTTTTCCTTTCATTGCTTTTATTGATGCCTTCTTTCTTTCATGCCAGAATTATTTCTCCAAATAAACCTTCCCCCTATTGATCTCTTCTATGTAGGAAAGATAAATTTTTAAATAAAACCAACCAACACAATGACTCCCATTCAACAACATAAGCAATATTTAGTAGCCTTGCTTTCCCTACCATTATAAAAAGGGAGGAGGTTGTCTTTTTTTTTTTCTTCAAATCTAATCATTTGCCTTCTGAAATCACTATTGGTCGTTCCATTTAAGTTGAATTATGCTGGGTTTTGGTGTTGTGTTCATTTATATCATTGTAATTGTATATAGTTTTCTTCTACTTTGCTTTCTTTATGCTTTTTTACTTCATACAAGTCTCCCTAGGTTTCTGAAAGCTTCTTATTAATCACTTGACAGAATTGTAGAATTTCATATATGGAAGGCACCTCAGTAGCCACCTGGTCCAACTCAAATCTACAAAGACTTCCCTCTGCAAAATAACCAGCAATTGATCTTTGAGCCTTTGTTTGAAGACCTCCAATGAGGAGGAAAACATTGCTTGCTAAAGGCAACGCATTTCATTTTTGTATAGCTCTAATTTGGCCTAAATTTGCTCTTTTGAAACTTCTACCCATTTCTATATCTCTCTCGTAAAGACTAGGAGAACATGTCTAATCTCTATTCCAGGTGACACCCCTTCAAATGCTTGAAAGAAGCTCTCATGTGTCCCCTAAATTTTCTCTTCTCCTAGTTAAATATGCCCAGTTTCTTCAGAATTCACCTTGAAGCCTTTCATCATCATGGTTGCCTTCCTCTGAATGCTTTCCAGATTATCTTTGTACTTCATGAAATGTGTCACTTAGAAATGAATAGACAGGGTCTAACAAAGGCAGAATACAACAGAACTATTACTTATTCCTTGGAGCTATGACTCTCTCATTGTAACCTAAGATCACATTCACTTTCTTGGCCACATACCATAATTTGATTCATATTGAGCTGGCAGTCCACTAAAAACCTCTTCTTTTTTTTTTTTTCAAACAAACTACTATTTCCCCTCTGTCTTATACTTGTGAAGTTTATCTCTTAGTCAGATCAACAAGTAAGCATTTATTAAGTGCCTACTATGTGCCAGGCATTGTACTAAGCGTGGAGGATACAAAGAAAGGCAAGAAAACAAAAAACCTTGCCATTAAGAAGCTCACTCTAACACACATGTGATTTTTACATTTATCCCTACTAAATTTCATCTTGCTCATTTCACCCTATGTTTGGAGCTACTAATCAAAGAGGGCTCGATTTGGGACTTGATTAGAGAGATAAGAGGGTCTGTCATGTCCATTTCTCGTTATTTAGATTGTTTTATAAGTCTGTAACTACACCAGGAAAGGAAAAGGACAATTCTTGACACAGCTCACAAATTCTGAAGAGTTTTGGGTACAATCAGTCAGCTCTCAAACTGTTGGCTAGTGTGTGGATCACAATTACCAAAAGGATTCCTCAGATGTTTGTAGGTAAGGGAGTGAGCTACATCCGGACCCATAGAATCTCGGATCACACGATATCCACCAATACCAACACAGGCTCCAGCATCTGAGATTTGTGCAGTAAACAGCATTGGAACTTGGTTGACTTGCTCTTCTACTTTTATGCAGAATCTGCCTTGCTTCTGATGTGTAATCACCATCCCTCACTTCGTAGCCTGTTTTTCATGGCTTATGGGGACAATGATTGACTAAGATGCTGGGGGCCAAGTTCATAACTGGCACTTTCTGGGCTCCTTCACTACTGTTTCATGCAGGAACTTTGGCCTGATTATATTTTCTTATGTTATCCCATCCTACTGTTTCTTTTGAATAAAGTATATTCTTCCAGAACTATATTCCAGTCAGGGGTGTCATCCCCTTTGTATCAGCAATTTGAGCCATGAGGTCATATTTTTCTCACTGTCCTAGGGTCTCTAGTTCATGTTGTTTTTTTCTCATCCTTTGTGCAAATATGTAAGGACATCTGAGGCCATTGATTTTATTGCTGATTCTTTTCTTAGATTTTATCATTTGAACTTTTGGGTGCATCAGTTAGCGTTCTTCTTACATTGTAGCTACAACTCTTTGTGTCTAGCTTCATCCTTAGGTAGAATTTTTCCTTTTTCATTTTATAAATTTGGTGTACAAGAATTTGGGCAGTTAATTTCTTACTAGCCCTAGTTAGGTATATCCAAGAGTGTGGTGGTAAATTTTAAGAGCTGGCTCTTCAGGAGGAAAATATATGTGTACAACACACCTTTAAGTTCAATATTCATCATTAACATTTTCTCCATTACTTTGTTATGTCTAGACAAATAATACGATAACAGATCAAGCCCTGATTTCTGGCATTTGCGGATTTCTGAGGTATAAATCCTCACACTGAAAACTTTTTAACAGTCAGCTCTCAAACTGATAAAAGCTGCCTCCATCACCCCTCTAGGTTTAATGTCTCATGCCTGTCCAAGAGCTTGTTCCTTTATTTTAGGACATGATTCAGAGATTTAAATCCCATTCTCAGATACTTGCTTCTTAACCAATTTTTCACATAATAAAAATGTTTTTTTCCTTCTATTCCTTTGTTCTCTTTAGCAACAGTGACTTTTTGTCTCAAGTCTTCATTCTTGCCCAGAACTTTATAATCTTGAACAATGCTTTATATTCCTTCTGGCATTATCATTTATACCCAAATGAATCATCTAAGGAGGACAATATTCATTTATTTTGACACGTTTTTGTAGATTATCTGAATGCATGTTTTGGGAAGACCACATCCATTTTTTGTTATCAAGTCAATAAGTAGGTACCTAAATATCCCCTCAGCAGGAATCATCATTACTACTAGTTTCTAGCTATTAAGTAATCTCTCCTGACAAAATATTTAGAATTATATAATAATCATTCCTTGGAGGACAATAACCAGTTTTGAGCATCTAGCTCCCTTTTCTTTAAGAGCACCCTCAAATTAGTTTTATAACTAAAATCTACCTTGTTTTATCTTTTTTTTGTGATGTCATTCCAACCTCCTGACATAAGTCAAGATTTCCTTTTACTTCTTCTTTCCCTTTTCCCTTCTCAGTTTTCACACTGAAGTTCTTCCAGTTTTCAAGTGAAGATTTTGTCCTTGATAACCTAGAAAGTTGAATATTCTTTCTCCATCCTCTTTTTTTTTTTTAATGATCAGAAACCAGTCGGCTCTTAGCAGTCACTTGGTTGTCAAAAGAAATATAAACACTGCATTATCAGTGTAGGCAACTGCAAAATGTTTCCTTCTTGCCACACTTGCTAGAAGTAAGGTTCTTACTTAAGTTTTGTCTTTCTTGCTAGGAACTCTTGTGTAAAATCACAATTGCAAACTGCTTTTGGGTGAACATAACTCTAAATTTGTTACTCTATCATTTTGTTAATATTTGATAATCTCTTTGGTTTCTCTTAAATCTTAAAAGCCACGTACATTGTTTTCCCCTCTCTAACCTCTTACCTTGTCTAGACAGTTTATTTTACTTACCTCATCTTATCAGCTACTTTCTCCTTGAGTCTTTTTTCTTTTTCCACTTCTCTTCCTTTTCTTTATTCAGCTCAAGGCATTGCTGCTGTTTCTCCTTTACCTTGGGTTTTCAGTCTCTCTCCTTTTTTCTTTCCTTTCCCAATTCCTTCTACTGAGATTCTTCTCCCTCACCTTGCTTCTCCTTTAGATCAAGTTCTTACTGAGCTCTAGGACATCCTTTTTTTTTTTTTTTTTAAATCTCTCTAACACTTTTTTCTCCACCTCCAACCCTTCTTGTCCTTCAGCTTTTCAAGTCCTCTAAAATTCCTTCTGCTCAAATTCGGTCTCTGGCCCTCATAATTCCAAAGTCTTCCAAATCACTTTTATAGTTGATTTCTTTATTCAACTCAAGTCCATCTCCTCCTGCCCCTTTACCCATAAACATTTTCTTTCACAACTATATGTCTGTAATGGCACACTAATTTTCCATTACATTCACATACCCCTATCAGTGGGTACCTATTTGTTTCCAGTTTTTCACTCCAAATTTTATGTCAAAGAGTATGATAATGTTAGTAACTTCTTGCATAATTTTAAATAGTTCTCAGTGGTCCAATAGTGTTCTTGCACTCTCCTTCAACACTAACATTCCCCATTAACTTCTCTTTGCCAATTTAATGTGTATGAGGTTAGAGTTCAGAGTTGCTTATATTTCTAATTATTAATAATTATGGATGACTTTTAAAAATAAGATTTTCAATTTTCTTTTGAAAATTGCTTATATACTTTCACAATTTATTCACTAGGGAATGAATCTTAGACTTTATTTTTCTCGGTTCCCTGTGTATCTTAAATATCTGACTTTTAACTGAGATGATTAATCCAAAAATCATTTTCTCCATAAATAGTTTTTTCATATTCTCCTTGCATTTTTTTTTTTTTTGCAAAGGTTGTTTAATTAAGTGACTGTTATTTGTTTTGTCTTTCTTTTGTCACTTCTATCTCATGGTAAAATCTAATTACTAATGATTGTCTTAATATTTGCGTAATGTCACTTTTTATTTTTAGCTAACTTCATTTGGAATTTATTGTAGTGTACAGTCAGATACTTTCCAGTTTTCCCAGCAGTTCTGTCTACTTTTGCCACTGGTTTATG